TTGTGACATTATGTACTTACCATCAAAGTATAATTCAACATACCGAAGGTCTGCTACTTCTTATCTTCACTGTTGTTTAGTCATTCAGTTGTGTCTATTTGTGACCACATGGACCATACTGTCCATAGGGTTTCTTGGCAAAGATGCTGGAGTGGTTTGCCATTTCCTTCTCTAATGGGTTAAGCAACTTAACTTAGAGACCTTAAGTGACTTACCCAGGGTTACACAGCTAGTAAATGTTTGAGGACAGATTTGAACTCAGGTCTTTCTGACTCCACTATGAAAATTTAGTATGCAATTATATACAAGAAAAACATTACTGTTGTGAGCACTAAAGAAAATGAATCTTTATTCTTCTGAAATTAAAGATTAGACAAAATATTACTTTCATATGTTTAACATTCCTAAGAACTTCAAAGAAATGTTAATTCAATTAATATTTATTAAGTGCTATCTTAAAATGTACTAGGGCAAGTCACTTTCTCTCTCAGTGTCATGGCCATCTCTTTCATATTCTAAGTTACCAACCAATTGTGGAACTGATTTAGTAGAGTAAGTTTTCCCAAGTGCCCTGCCCCCCCATCACAGATCTGGTAAAAAAAAAATACATTCATACATACATAAATACACACAGACATATATATGATATATATGTATATGTATGTGTGTGTATTATATATATATATATATATATATACACACACACACACACACACATATATATATGCACACTAAAAGGCACTTTGTTCAGGAAGACAACTGGAATGCAAGATTTATTTTGAAAATATTTATTGATCTTTTATTTTTATATCATTTAATTTTCCTTGTTACCTCACTCCTCTCCATCTTCCCATAGAGCCACTTCTTATTACAAGAAATCCTTTTATTTTCACTGAAAGAGGCATACAAGAATTCTCATTGGATTTCACATTCCATGTTTAATGCAATGGTATACTGGGTGAAACCTTTGGCTTAATGAATCAACTTGTGTCTAAATGATATATATATATATTTTTTTTGATTTATCACTTCTATTTTCACAGTCACTGAAACTCCAGTTTAATCTAACTTAACAGTGAGCCCTCCTACAGCCCCTTCCAACATTTTAGAACACTGTTCAGGAATCATCCACTTGGATAATAACCTGGATTTTATTTTGAGAATTAAGTTCTAAGACATTGGCATTCACATATTCCAAATGACTTTACTGTATGGTAATGGCATGCTTCACGAAATATATGAAAATGCTTTCAGACTAGCATACTGCAAACAAATACCAGCATTCTTGTTTTGAGGATTTTTTTCTTTTTTTTCTTTTTAAGAGCAGAGTTGAAGGAAAGGAACTTACATTGTGGTTTATACTCATAAGATATTGATCCTTAAATATAAAATTATACTTATTTTGTCTTTAACTAAGATACTCCTAGGTCTTAACAAAACATGCATGGGAATCTTGATTTTTAGAGGCTATGAACAACCTTTAGAAGGTACCACCAAGATGGAAAAGCTTTGTGAAAAGGTCCAGGAGCCAACTACATATTGGTCATCTGAGTACTAGTAGCCAAGTCAAGTCTGGAGAAGATTATTTCAGAACGGACAACTCAAAAGGTAATTGTATTTAGCCATAGAATTTCATGAAGAGAATCTTCCAAGGTATAGAGGAGTGGACTGTCTATGTGGATTCCACACCCCCAGTCCCTCAGAAGGAATACCAATGGTCATTAAATCATGGATCTTGAGGTCCTGTATTTTTTGAAGTAACTTGTTTTCAGTCATTCATACCAGCAGTGCTCCTAATTAATACTCATTAGTCTAAAGTCTTTTTCTCCCTTTAGTCACTGATATTGCAAGTAGGAAAAACAGTACTAGAAGGTGCCCAGGGGCCCAAAAAAAATGGACCCTAACACCTAAAATCAGTTATTTACAACTTAAATGAGAGGCAGTGAGGGGTAGTTGAAAGAGGATTAAGCTTGGGATCAGGAAACTTGGATTCAAATCACTACCTATATGAGCATGGAGAAGTTGATTACACCTGTCTGAGCCTCAGTGGCTCCATCTAAAAAATGAGGATAATACTTGCATTATCCATCTCATAGAATTACTGTGAGGAAAATTTTTTGTAAACTGCAAAGCACTTGAGAACCATGAGGTGTGAGTTATTCTCTAAAGGAAAAACTAACTCAGCCAGGCAAATAAGCATTGGGCCGTAGGCCCAGAATTGAAAAGAATTCAGGATGGGTCTGATTAAAACTGAATGTATTCTGTCTTTTCATTCTTTGCAGTTTTGGTTTGGTTTTTATGGATATGTATTTGAGGAGGAAATGCCTAATCTATGATGCAGAAGATGGTTTATGAGAGCTCTACTTTCCTAGTATTAAGGGGGAGAAAGAAGAGGATTAGAAATTGGGTGGAAAGATGACATTAATTATAGCAACAACTAGCATTTATATATAATTTTAAAATTTACTAAGTGTTCTACATATAAACACACACACATGCACAAACATGCACAACTATCTATCTATCTATCTATCTATCTATCTATCTGTCTGTCTGTCTGTCTAATTTGTACCAATTTGACAAGCAAATTTGATTTGGGAGACAGGGAAGAACAGATTGATGGTATTTGTTAAAATTATTTCTAGTGTAAGGCTCTGCCCTCAGGTATATAAATACCATGGGAAACAAACATTCACTAAAATACTTAGTTCAGAGTACCTGAAAACAACGTGCAAAATCTCCATCTGAGTAGGCTACAACTTCCCCAATCTGTCAGCTAGAAAGATGGTGATTGTAACAATTTTGCTTCATTCCAAGGACACTTTAAGACTGGGCCCACCATAGTGAGTGGAGAAGTCTGTTTAATTGGCAGTTAGTCCTTAAAAATTCCCTGAGGCTGGAGAAACAGGGAAGTAGAAGAAGATAGCAGGTGTAATGGGACAGAAAACTTCAGGGATGGAATTTCTTCACCTTGGTCTTTTCATCCTTTCACCTTTTATCTCCTTGTTTAGATACAACTTTCTCCCCTTCTGTCTTCCCTGGTTTTTCAGACTAATGACAGATCCTGATTGCAGCCATGCACCCATTCTAAGTCCTTTCTTCACCAAACTTTCACAAATATATAAGAATGCACGTGAAACCATTAGGAAATGGATAGATAATTTTAAAAGCACAGTTTAAGTATTTAAGCAAGTCTCTGCTCATGCATGCAAAAGACCTATTTTCTAGTTAAAACAATTAATAAAAGACTCCCAAATAATCAGGGTCAGTTGTTATACAATATGGTGTCTTTTGACTAAAGGCATTATGGCCAGCTTGGTGCTATACATTGAATAAGACAATGCATTATAGTATTGTTCTGTCTGTGAATGGAGAGTAGGGTTGCCAGAAGTAGACAAAACCCCTTTTTGAAATAAGTTACAATCCTGTACAGGTGAATAATAGCAATTACAATATTGTTCAGCCATGTTTTTTTGTCCTGTCCTACTCTTCATGACCTTCTTTGGGATTCGCTTGGCAAAGATGCTAGAATGGTTTGCCATTTCCTTCTCCAGCTCATTTTACAGATGAGAAACCTGAGGCAAACAGGGTTAAATGAGTTGCTCAGGATCACAAAGCTAGTAATTGTCTGAGGCCAGATTTGAACTCAGAAAGATGTCTTCCAGATTCCAGGCATGACACTGTATTCACTGTACCACCTAGCTAGCATTTATCCAGCACTTTAAGGTTTGTTAAGAGCTTTACAAAATTATCGCATTTTGGCCTTACAACAATGCTGGGTGGCGGGTGCTTTTATGATCCCCTTGTTACAGATGATGAACTTGAGGCAGTCAAAGGTTAAATGGTCTGCCCTACAAAATGTCTGAGCAGGAGTTGAACTTACGTCTTCTTGTTTCTAGGTCTAGTGATCTGTCCACTGCATCACCTAGCTACTTCATAAACATGCTACAGGATTCAATCTATCTTCTAAATTCCCTTTACTTCCTCTGTACTACCATACAGAAGGAAAATGTTTGGGGAAATTATGTTAAAATTGCAGTCATTTCCACAAAGTGCATTAGTCTTTTCCCCCTTAGATACCTTTTTATGTAAAGGAAGAAAGCTTAATTAAGTTTATCTACTGGCAGTCAAATAGTGGAGATAAAATATTTAAGGTTAGCTCTCAAGAATCCAAGGACACTGAAATACCAAGATAAGACTTCAGTATCACTGAATTAGTCCTTTAGATCATTTCAATTTTCAGGACAGTACAGAGACATGGGATTCTTCTAAAAGGGCTTAAAGTTCAACAATAATACCATAAAAGATCTGCAGGGCCTGAGAGTCTATAATTCCCCTTAGTCATATGCTTTAAACTTATTCATCTTCTAGATAGGTCAATCTTAAAGGAATTTTAAATAATTACTTCTTTTGAGCTTTCTGTATATACCAGTGGGTATGGCAGTCCACAAATCTGGATGGGGGAAAAATACATCTTCATTTTCATTAACCTTTGGTTTCCTTTGTAATCCTACGTATTTTATTTTATTCATTTAAAAACTTATCCTGAGAAGGAATGTACAGGCTTCATCAGATTGCCAGAGCAATGTATGACAGGAAAAAAAAAGGTTAAGAATCCTTGGTATGAATGAAACAGTATGTAAATCCAATTTCCTTAAAGTTATTCATGTCTTATCTCTCTCCTTGAGATTAAATAAACCTATGCCCTTTTAACCTTTTTTCTCTCACTGGTCTTTTTACTGGATTATTGAATAAAGTACAATTAGAATATTAGACTATCACAATATTCTATGACTTTCTAATGCTGTAGGAAACAAAGGCAAGAGGGAAAAAAAAGCTTTTCCCCTCCCCCATTTTCTTACAGGGAACAACTTTGATCAGATCACTATATCTCAGGGGGATTAAACCTTACCACAATGAAACTTACCCCAGAGAATTTTAGAATAATTAGCTGATGGAAAGTGCAAAAATGACAAGCACACTGTAAAAATTAAACCCAATAATGTTTTGAAAGTTTAATAAAGCTTTGATAAAACTGAGCTTGCAGTATTGAGTACAAGAGTTTATATTCTGTATAACCCAAATGAACTTGTACATTTATGTAATTAGAGATTGCATGCCAGCAAATGCAATTATTTTGATTTTAATTTAAATATGTACAATTTACAGTATAATTCAAGCACAGATTCCACAGTAGAGAACACAGACCTGCTGTGCAGTTAATCTGAACCGCTTTTATAATGTTAAGCCCCTCAGGCTGGGCAAAACTGTAAGAGACGAAACAGTAGTAGTCTTACAAATAGATCATGAGCCAGCTTTTGGACACTTCCTAAATTATTCCTTAGTAGCAAGCATGCATTAAGTGGCCCTTGTTTGCTCTAAAAGAGACAATTTGCCTAACTGCTTATCTTACTACCGGGAAGTGAGTGGCTTATGTATTGAGACAATGAAGTACATTATACTAGTTAACTAAGAACCTTCTGTAAGTTAAAAATTCAAACAGAATCACTTTCTGTTTGTTACTTTCAGTACACTCATCAAAGAACGTATTTTCATGTCATACCAGATGGCTAAGATATGAATTCTCACATGATTTTAAGTTGAAGACACAAATTATCAAAATTATTTTATTTCATTTATTTATTTACAGCATTTGGATGAATCAGATTGGAACATGTTCATTTTGATGGGTTCTGCAACATGAGAACTCTACGAATAGGGAGCATTTTGAAGTAGCTAACTTAAGTTAGATTATTCAATTCATCATTTTGTAGTGTTAGAGGGTTTCTCTCCAGTGTGTATTATAATACTGACCATAACATCACTGGGCCAAAGATCATCTTGATGCAGGTTTGCTTTTATCACAGACTCTTTCCCAAGGCCTAAGTCTCACAAAATCTGTCAAGTGACAGTGCCCAGAGATTTCTATTTTATTCAGTCCATAAAAACACATAAGGCCTCTGTGCTAAGGAAGGGTGCCATACACAGACTAAACACAAGTCCCGAGAAATCACTTTGACAAGAGGCGTCTAGGTTGAACAATTTGGAAATAAGATAATTTGGTTGGACTAGAGGTCAGAGAGAGCCAACAACTGGTGACGTGAGAGAAAAGGGCACCATTTCTCTGTTAACTGTACTCAGTATAGCTGTGAACATAGTTCTGTTTCACAGTAATGAATTAATTGAGAATGACATAGCTTCCCTGGGCGTCTCTCACCCCCAATCCTAGAAAGCAAAGTGCTATATCACAAAAAACGACAACAAGAACAAACAAGATTCACTCAGACGAATCCATTTGAAATAGAGAGACCTTAGAAATAAGTCAAATGTAAAATGTACTTCTGAGAGTGCCTTTCTGGAAATGACATCTGTCATTCATACAAGGCAACATTCACCAATAAGGAAAAAATCAACTCTACCTGCAACACACACATAACTCTATTCATTTCCTGCAGCAAGTGAGTTAAAATAGAAGGACTGGAATGGGTTTGTATACAATGGACAGTCAATGTTGAGTAACTACTAAAGCATACCTTTCCTCTAATATTACCTTCCATTTACATTGCACATATCTTGTATGCACATTTCTTTGCATGTTATCTCTCCCGTTAGAATTTGAACTCCTGAGACCAAGCAATGAATTTTCACCTTTTTTTGTATGTCCAGTGTTTAGCTCAGTGACTGACTCATATTAAGTGGCTAATGAATGCTTGATGACAACTTTTAATCACCTGACCCCAACAGATTCATAATGTCCTGTTGTATCTTTATTCTTATATAAATAAACCCCATTTTGGATACTCAGATACTTGTGTAAGGGGAGGTGACACTGCGAGAAAGAGAATTAATGATGATGGTTAATTCAGTGGGAAATTTGCCTTTGCTGATCTTTCCATTTTAATATTATGGTTATCACCACCATCAGCTCTGTGTGTATGTGTGTGCATTATATTTCATCAGAGCTTGAAAATTCGTCTACTGATACACGATGAGCAAGACCTGTTCAATATGTAATCTTTAAAGAGTTGCCAGGGGGCTTTAAGAGATCAAGTGACTTATCACACAGCTGGGCCTCTATTTATTATTTGGTTCTCAAACTTTTTGGTCTCAGGACCCCCTTTATGTTCTTAAAACTTACTGAGGAATTCCTTCCCCAAAGATACTCTTATTTGGGTTCTTGTTATAGATATTTACCATATTAGAAATTAAAACTAAAGTTTTACTATTATTATGAAAATAGTTCTGACCTATAGGCCCTCCTGATAAGGGATCTAGGGCCTCCACACTTGGAGAACCATTGCACTAAGTTATACAGCTTTTCTACAAAACAAAATATGATTTACCTTTGTAACTACAATCCAAATAACTACACGAGTGCTAGAGGGAACACAAACCAGTTCCAAAGAATTACCAAGCAATAATATGTGGCATAATGATAGAGAGCAGCACCAGATGTCAAGATGACCTTAGTTTGAATCCAATGTGTGATCCTTGGCAAGTTTCTTAGCCACTCTCACCTTTAGTCTCCTCATCTTTTGTAAAATGAGGGGGCTGGATCTGATAATGTTTTCTACGGTCCCTCCCAGCTCTAAATCTTTGATCCTTAGGAAGTCACTGAGTCAGAGTATATGTACACAATCCTTTTATAATAAAGAAAACCAGAAGTAAGGTACATCATTGCTCTTTAACATGTTTTTTATCACTGATTGCTCCTATGAACAGGGCCACAAAGATGCAGTGAATGTATACTATGGTTACCTCCTCAAACTGCTGACTCACTCATACATTGCAAATCATTGTCTCAGGTATTGCACTAATTGGTAACTACAACTTTATGCCAACTATTAAAAAGTTTCAGAAGTTGGGGTTAGGAAAATACTATTGGCCAAGTGTCAGTTCACATGCCAACTCATACTATTTCATGATCCTAATAGCAATTAGTACTTTCTCCTTCCTCCTCTTCAAATAAACATGTATACCCTTACTTGTTTAAATGTTTACATTATCTGCTATAGTATGTAAGCTCCTGAAGGTCAGAGAATGTCTCTTGTTTTATCTTTGTACTTACAGTGCCAACCATAGTCTTTGTATATGTTAGGTACTTCAAGGAAATACACGCTGGATTGGACTAGTTTACAGCAGGGAGCCTAATGGAGCCAAAATTTTGCTTTTACTGTGTTCTGAAAGTATTCTTATTACATTAGATTTTAATTTTTTTTTCCATAACCCCATATATATCTTCTGTACAAAAAGTTTCCTTCCAACTCAATGGGATCAAATGATTTGGAGAAATTGCTGAAGTGAGAGAAAAAATGAGGGCAATAAACAATAAAACTACTTAGCAGAGGAAAAGAATAAAAATTGAAATCAAATAAGACCTAAACATTTGTTATGGATAAATATGTATCATAATTCATCATTAAATGGTCACCTTGCTTGAGATAATTGCTTCATTTAAAAAATGAGAAAAATTTCACGCCATAATGTTTATATGGGTCCAATTGATTCAGGCTGCAATAGAAAGCATTCATCACTGAATTTGCAATCAGATTCTGATATATTCAAAGTAACTTGACTCCTAATTATTACCATAATGATTCAGCATTTGTTCATGTGCTGCATCCTGTATGAAGCTGTTTGAGAATGTAAGCCTTTTGATATTTTTAGCAAATATAATTATTTAAAATTTTACAACATTTTAAGAAACAAGATTAACCTTTCCAGGAAAGAGGCCAAATTCTGCAGATCTCAAATCAAGCAACATTTCCTCATTTTTATCATTTTCACATCATTCGTAAAAAAAAAAAAATCATAAAGACACTTTATATAGTGATATCACTGCATTTTTGCAACTTGTATTTAAAAAGTTAAATCTATAAGGGTTATCATTTGCACAGCCCCAAAATAGTACAAACTTTGTGAATGCTTCTTTGAAAGTGTAAGCAAAAGACTCCCATGACAGATAAACTGAAACAAACATTAAATCAAATTTTAAAATGACAAATAATTTAAGGCTCAAGTAACTGGCTAATAATTTTGTAATGCCAATAACCTTAGCATTCTAAGAAAGTAAACATGCAGCAGGACTATTATATTTAACAGAACAATACAATCTCTATCAGAAATATATATGTACATGTATATATGTGTATAGGTACACATACATATATGTATATATGTTAACTTAAAATCGTAGTGTGCCCTGAAAGCTATCCACTCATTTGTCTACTATACACTTTAGAAATATAGGGGAGGGTAATACCTCCTTAAATATTTTTCAGAATATACAATATAAATATAGTAAGAATCATGCCATAAAACTAAATATGAAATTTGCACATTATTGCATGCTTGGTGTGATACTACATGCCAGTTAATAATAGGTCTTCTTTGACTTTCCCCCATTACAATTTCCATTTTCTACACAGTCAGCATTACTTGAGGAGCAATGTTGCCATGGGTACATGGAATACACAGGGAAATGTCACCTTTCTCACAATCTGTCCTATGGAGAGGCTTACTTTATCAGACAAAATTTGGACTACTACTAATTTCAACTTTAAATAATTCCTAAAAGTCTGGTTTTGTTATGTGAACCGATCAGAGTTCATTTTTCTTAATTTAGCTGGAAGGTTCCCTTCCATTCTGGCTGCACCTCCTGACATCTTTTGAAGCTTTGGTGGCAAATCAGCCACTGACTGGCTCATGGGATCAGACAACATCTTTGTGGTTTTAGATACCAGTTTTTCTTCTGAATTGCCAGGAACTGAGCTTATTCGTTGAAGTTTCATGGGTAAATCTCCCAAACTGTAGGCCTTTTCTGAAGTTGTAGAACTCATTCTTAGGAGTTTTTTGGGAAAGTCTTCTCTTCCAGTAATTTTTTGTAACTTCGATGGGAGTTTGGTACTAATGTCATCTATTCCATCTAGACATTCAACAGAATTATTCCTTTCTTTAGTGTTAGTTATGGCTGGTGCTATTAAAGGCGAGGACATGAGAAGCATTTCCTCCTGTTCTTTCACACTGTAAGGTGGGGTGGGCACTTCAAAGGTTGCATGGAACTGGGAATAATCAACTTTAAAGAAACCTTCCTCTAACGAAATAACAGGGAAAAAGCGGTGACCCCAAAGAACTTCATCTTCAGTGTATGAAGTCCGAGCTTGACAGGTCATCCCTACAAGAAGATAAAAAACAAATAACTTGATAAATGATAGGCAACTAAAAGCACATGTCAAACCAGCATGACTCAGTAATTTCAATTTACATTATTACTGCAAATGCTTGTTTCCAGAATGTGATTTTTAAGGCTGAATGATAGAGTATATTAGAAGTTTGACTGTATGGATTTTTGCTATTATCTTAACCTCATTGCAAGCAAAATCATAGTTATAACATATTACATCTATGCATATATATATATATATCTGTATTATATCATGTAATATATAATCTAATAAAAAAGCAGTTATTTTCTACCTTTGAACGATACCTACTGCATACTTAGTTGTCAGATCCAACTAATCCTGATTTTAAGAGAGAAGATGATTAGATTTGGGAATCCAGGGTACCCAGCTTACATCTTTCTGGAGAAAATTCACATTTGAGAATACTAGGCTCCATTAACAATATAAAATTGTGGCCCACAAAATAGAAATACCAAACATTTTAGAATATATAAAGATTATCACAATAAAAGAAACAAAAACTGTGACGGTTTAGCATTAACCTTATAATTACCTATGGAAAAAGGAAAGTAAAAAAATATGTATATAAAAATATAAATATATATATATGTATATATATGTATGTGTATATATATAAATATAAATATAGGTGTGTATGTGTATATATGTATATATACACATGTGTGTATATATACATACATGTACATATAATGTATATGTATATGTACATATACATGTATATGTACATATACATATATGTGTGTGTGTGTATATGTATATATATATATATATATTTAACTTTTAGAAGTCTAATCTCAATCCAAAAATTAATACATAAGATGATAAATTCCGTCTACAGGACAACACAAGCCATGAAATTCAACCAAAGGAAGCCAACATTCATTCTCTAGGAGTCTACACAATATTTTAGTACAAAAGAGAAAATGGAACTTGCAGTTATAGACATAATCTTGCATATACTATGTTGATTCATCAAATATCCTCTTCTGTCTAAAGGGAACTGTGTTCATTCCTATTATCATGAACTATTGTATTCTTGACTGTCCATGACACCAGAGACAGGGAAAGCATGGATTAATGATATTTAAAGGTAATGTCTAAATTTCACATCAAGAGATTTTACCTTCTCTACTACAAAGCAACTACAACAACTACAAAACAGACTTGTAACACTGGTGGACAACACTTGACAATTTCTATTTCTTCCTTCCTTCTGGAAGGGGCAGAGACGAATCTCAGAGGCTTTACCTTGTTTCTACTCTGCTTGCTCCCTTTCTCTTATGATACAGGGATTAGATATTTAATCAACCACAACCTGTTATAGCAATTAGCTTGACTTTGGTATAATGTCAATACAATTGCCTTCTGATCTATGAAATCTCTCTCTGTTATTTTATGAAGCTTATGTAAGACAGAAAGTTATTAATACAACAATAGCTCAAAGCCTCAGTTCAAGAAAATTCCTAACATTCAGAGAGAGTTTTGATTCTCTCCTTCCTTGTTCCTCAGAGCAATTCCCTCTGACCCTGGAATTCCTCACCACTTGATGCATTCATAGCTCATCTGACTGGCTGTTTTTATGTCTCCCAAGAGGTATGATTTGATATTCTCAATGAATGAAAATTTACCTTTCATCTAATGTCCCAAAGTTCTATTGTGTCTATTGTGAGATGTTGTCACTTCCACTGCTCTCTTGGCCTCTTTGACCTTTGGCTCTCTACCCCTACAATCACTGAAGCAGAAGTTCAACCTGGGAGAGAGAATCAGCAAAAGCCTCCAACAATATCTGGATTGTTATGACCTGTAGCCTTAACCTTCTTCGACTGCGTGAAGGGGTGATCCATTTAGGAAATAAGATCATTTAGGGTCCATTACACCAATACTCTGTTGATTTATAACATAAACTTTTGTATGCCATATACCATGGCTAGCAATATACAAAATCCCATTACTGTAATCTTGCTTTTTTTACAGGTGTCTGAGCAAAAACCAAAACTAAACAAAAAACCACCCCCAAAAAACAAAACAACAGAAAACAAAAAAACAAAACAAAACAAAACTCTGGTTTTCTTTTGCTCTCTTCCCAGTCCTGTTTTCATTTGGCCACAGCTCTACCTTTCCCAGGTTCCTATTCTCCTCTGCCAACAATGGGTCCTCTTAAAAAGCCACGTCCTATTATCAGCAGCATCTTTGTCAATCTATATCTCTTAACTCTGAACTCCTTACATCTCTTGGCATTAACTGGAACCTGACTCTCTCCACCATTTCCCTTGTTGGCTGCTATTTTTCTTATTGTCTGCTTCCCCTCTCCCCTCCATCACCAACTCATAGTCAGTATGAAGATGTAGCAAAATTATTGCACACCATTTCCATTTTAAAATCCTCAATTTACAATCATTATTCCACAAATCCTCTTCTTTACAATTTTAAGCCACTTGATTTTGTCACCTTGTCCAGCACCATGTCATTTTCATTTATTACTCTTCCACTTTCCTCAATGACTGTAGCAGTCGGCTTCAGCCCTAAACATGGAACCAGAGCCATTTTTGAAAATAATGTGCAGATACTGACCTGTTTTCTTCCCTACTCTCTCTTTCTTGGTAACTTCAGTAGTCATATTGATGATTTTTTTCTTTTCTTTTGTGTTTTTATTAATTAATTTATTTTGATTCATCAACAATCACTTCTACATGCTTTTGAGTTTCAAATTTCCCCTCCCTTCTTCCCCTCCACCCACCCCAAGATGGTGCCCAATCTGATATAGGCTATATATATATATATATATATACACACACACATATATATATATGTATATATACATGTGTATATATGTACATATATATACACATTCTTATCAAACATATTTTCAGATTAGTGATGTTGTAAGTAAAAATTAGAACCAATAGGAGGAACCACAAGAAAGAGAAAAGAAAACTCAACAGAAGAGAAAAAAATAGCAAATAGTATGCTTTGATCTGCATTCAAATTTCATAGTTCTTTCTTTGGATGTGAATAGTATTTTCCAACACGAGGCCTTTGGAGATGTCTTAGATCCTTATATTGCTGGGAAGGGTTGAGTTTATCAATATTAGTCATCGCACAATGTGGCTGTTATTGTGCACAACGTTCTCTTGATTCTGCTCACTTCACGCACTATCAGACCATACAAGTCTTTCCAGATTTTTCTGAAGTCAGCCTGTTCATCATTTCTTATAGCACACCAGTATTCCATTACATTCATATACCACAACTTGCTCAGCCATTCCACAGCTGATGGGCATCCTCTCAATTTCCATTTCTTTGCCACCACAAAAAGAGCTGCTGTGGATATTTTTGTACATGTGGGTCCTTTTCCCATTTATATGATCTCTTTGGGATATAGTCCTAGAAGTGCTGTTGCTGGGTCAAAGGGTTTGCACATTTTTATAGCCCTTTGGGCATAGTTCCAAATTGCTCTCCAAAATGGTTGGATCATTTCACAACTCCACCAACAATGCATTAGTATTCCAATTTTCCCACATCTTCTCCAACATAGATCATTTTCTTGTTTTGTCATCTTGGCCAGTCTGATACGTGTGATGTGGTACCTCAGAGTTGTTTTGATTTGCGTTTCTGTAATCAATAGTGATTTAGAGAATTTTTTCATATGACTATAGATGGCCTTAATTTCTTCATCTGAGAATTGTCGTTCATATCATTTGGCCATTTATCACATATTGATGATTTTCTAACATGTAACATGGTCCCTTAATGCATTAAGATGTTGAAATCATATGACCTAAATTTCCAATTCTACTTCAGTCACCTAGACAAATAGTTGCACTTTAGAACTCATCCAATACCTGAAACTAATGCATCTTCAAAATTCTGAACCTTGATACTCTTCCTTTCCCACCAACTCACTATGCCTGAACCTCTTCTTCATGAATGTAATCCACGTCATAACTACTTGAAAAAAAGTAATCAGAGAGGAGAGGGAAGATATCAACTTAAAAAATCATGTAAACTCATCAAAATTAGTTTTTACAAGAATAACCCAAAGGAATTTGTATTATTTCTTTCCTGTCTATCTTTGGACATTTTATTTTCAAATAATTTCACAACTATCTTCAGTGTCTTACAGAATTTTAAATATCATTTTATTTGGGCAAACTAACAGAAGATGCTCTCTTCAAACAAATCATGTTTAATGGAGAGGCTTCTCCAGGCACACATTAAAATTCTACATTATTCCATTTCATAATTAATTCTCTACCTTTATTCCACATTCCTTCAAGTATTCCTCTCTTGCTTCTGCAAGACTGCAGAAACTCTGAGCTCTGGGAAAGCAAAGGAGAAGAGCTTTTTTGCTTATTTTTTATGATCTTAAATAAGTTTTTTTTAGGCCAGGAAGGTCCTTTTACTAAAGCTAGTCAGCACCTCCCTTGCAACTTCTGGTCTTAGAAAATTTCCTGGGGCATAGAGAGGTTAAAGTGACTAGCCAAGAGTCACGCAGCCAATATTTTACAGAGGAGACACTAGAAACCTAGGTCTTTCTAACTATACAGCTGCCTCTTTTCCCCTTTTAATTAAATAAACGGGACTACAAGTCAATTTGTTTGTCTCTTTTATACATATTTTATATCATTTTCTGAGTGTAATTTCTTTATTTGCTTTGGGACTTTATTTTTAACTTAAATTAAATATATATATATATTTCAAGCATCTCAGAAATGGCCCTTTACTTGTGAATATACAACACGTAGCTTCATTAGTGTCTAGGAGAGTGCTGGGGTACTGACAGAATTTTCTGAACAAGAGGATATACTGGGAGGAAGAGAGTCTTTTTCAGAGAGGTGACATATATTGAGGAAACCAAAACATTTCCCAGTCAAGATCCACCTGCTATGGAAGACTGTGTTTTTTCAAGTAAGAGCCATCACTTGGGCAGCTATGTGGAGTGACGAATATCTGAGTTTAAATCTGACTT